GTCTCTCAAAGTTTGTCTCTCCAGGCCAAGGAGGGGGTTCACGACTACGAGAACCCCTCCGTCTTCAGGCGCAACACCCTTCCTCCGCGCGCATACTTCATCCCAGAGACGTCCATCCTCCTCAATGGCGTTTGGGATTTCCACATGGCCGGCACTCCCGAGGAGGCACCTTTGCCAGAAGACAAGGAGGATGAATGGGGCACCATCAACGTCCCTGGCCATTGGCAGCTTCAGGGACACGGCTTCCCGTGGTATACCAACACACAGTTCCCTATCCCAGTGAACCCGCCATACGTGCCCAGCGAGAACCCTACGGGCACCTATAGACGAACATTCCACGTCCCTTCCACGTGGGATGAGAAGTCGCAATTGCGCCTCAGATTCGATGGCGTTGATTCCGGATACCACATCTGGGTCAATGGCACGCTCATTGGCTTCGCTCAGGGCTCGCGGAACGCGTCCGAGTTTGACGTCACAAGCATCCTCAAGAGGGATGGACCCAATGAGCTGTTTGTGAGAGTGTACCAGTGGTCTGACGCAACTTACATCGAAGACCAGGATCAATGGTGGCTTTCAGGTAAGTGGATACTTCTTCGTCGCCAGCTAGCTTAGGTATCCATCTAACGAGCCAATATTTAGGTATCTTCCGCGATGTCACTCTCCTCGCCGTGCCCGAGCAAACAAGAATCGAGGACTGGTTCCTCCGCACTGATCTCGACGAGAAGTACGAAGACGCGACTCTCCTGGCGACGGTCGACGTCAAGACCGCCGAGAAGGGCACCGTCAAGCTCACTCTCAGCGAGCTGGGCAAGAATGGCGGTGCTGTCATTGCGACCAAAGAGGCAGAGGTCACTGCCGATAACACCAAGGTCGACATCAGCATTCCTGTCACCAACCCCAAGAAGTGGACTGCCGAGACCCCTTACCTCTACCGGGTTGACATCACCCTGGGCTCCCATGCCATCTACCAAAACATTGGTTTCCGCAAGGTCGAGCTCAAGAACGGTCTGATTTCCGTCAACGGTACTCCCATTCGCATCAGAGGTGTCAACAGACACGAACACCACAACAAATTCGGCCGGGCTGTCCCCATCGAGTACGCCAAGCGCGACCTCCTCATCATGAAGAACCATAACATCAACTCTCTGCGTTGCTCACACTACCCGCCTGATCCCCGAGTCTTCCAGCTTGCGGACGAGCTCGGCTTGTGGGTCATGGACGAGGCCGATCTCGAGTGCCACGGCTTCTACGATGCTGTTGCACGCCCCCAGGACGTCGACGAGGCGTCAGACTACGAGGCGCGCAAGGCTATTACCTTCCCCCTTGCCGGAAAGTACACCAGCGAGAACCCCGAATGGCGCGAGGCATACCTCGACCGCATGGTTCAGCTGGTTCAGCGCGACAAGAACCACACCAGTATCATCATGTGGTCGCTTGGTAACGAAGCCTTCTACGGCGAGAACCACAAAGCCATGTACGAGTACGCCAAGAACTTCGATTCTGGTCGCCCGGTCCACTACGAAGGCGATGTCAAGGCCGAGACTGCGGATATGTACTCTTACATGTACCCTCCCATCGACCGCCTGACCAAGCTGGTTGAGACTGAGGGTGTCAAGGAGGACGGCAGCTTCGACAAGCCCGTTGTTCTCTGCGAGTACGGTCACGCCATGGGCAATGGCCCTGGTGGTCTCGATGACTACATTGAGGTCTTTGAGAAGCTCCCTCGCCTTCAGGGTGGCTACATTTGGGAGTGGGCGAACCACGGTATCTGGAAGGAGGATGCTGATGGTAAGGGCTACTATGCCTATGGAGGAGACTTTGGCGAGCGTCCCCACGACGGCACCTTCGTCATGGATGGTCTCCTTCACAGCACCCACGATCCCACTCCAGGCTTGATCGAGCTGAAGAAGGCCTATCAGCCCCTTCAGCTGTCAGTTGAGGGCAACCAGCTTGTCATCAAGAACAAGTACGACTTTGTCGGCGTTGACCACCTCTCCTCTACCTACAAGGTTGAGGAACTCGGCGAAAAGTAAGTCATTCTGGAGGAAGCCCTAATGATCTTTAGGAACAAGATGACTGACGATTTGTAACACAGCTCCGCCCTCATCGCTGCCGGAAACCTCGAAATCCCCAAGATCGCCGCCGGCGAGACCGTCAAGGTTGACCTGCCCTCGAGCCTCGCAAACATCAAGTCCGACAAGGAGGTCTACATCACCGTGACCTTCAGTCTCAAGGACTCCACCAACTGGGCCGAGCCCTCGCACGAGATCGCTTGGATCCAGCACAAGCTTTCAGGTGTTGCGGCGGCCCCCAAGCTGCTCAACAGCACCCTCACCTCCAAGCTGCAGGTTCAAAAGTCTCGCGCCAAGGCCACCGTCTCAGGCTCCGACTTTGCCATCACCTTTGATACCGCTCGCGGGTATATCACATCTTGGACTGCTGCCGGAGTGCCTCTTCTCGAAAAGGACGAAGCCACTGGCGCGGCCATTATCCCCAACTTTTGGCGCGCCCCTACAGATAATGACAACCCAAATGATGCCCCTTACTGGGTTCGTTTTGGTGTCGATGCTTTTGACAGCTTCCTTCGGTCATTCAAGATCAACGAGTCGGCCGACAAGGTTGAGGTCATCACAACTACCTACCTCTCCCCTCGCGTCCTCGACTGGGGTTGGGAGACCACTACTACTTACACCATCGACTCTACCGGTCGCCTCACCGTCGCCGTTGACCTAAAGCCCCGCGGCATCAAGCCCACCCACATTCCCCGCGTGGGTTTGAACCTGCGTCTGCCCAAGTCGCTCAACAACGTCAAGTACCTCGCCCTGGGTCCCGGCGAGTCCTACCCGGATAAGAAGTCCAGCCAGCACCTCGGCGTCTTCAGTGCCACCGTGCCGGAGTTGCACCAGCACTACGAGGTGCCCCAAGAAGGCGGCAACCATCTGGAAACCCGCTACGTCAGACTCACCGAGGACCATGGCCGCGGCCTGCGCGCAACGCCGGCCGACGCCGCTGTCTGGTCCGAGGAGGAGTGGCGCCAGTTCAGCTTCCAGGTCAGTCGCTACACTTCCGAGACGGTGCACAAGGCCGCGCACCCGTGCGATCTCGTTGAGGAAGATGCGACGCTGCTGCGTCTCGATGCACGCGTTGCTGGTGTTGGTACTGCCGCTTGCGGTCCTAATGTCAGGGAGGACTTGAAGGTGCATGTCGGGGAGTTCAAGTTCGGATTTGTGTTAGAGAGAGTCGGATTTTAATGACTTTGTGATGATTTGGGTTACGATGAATGGTTTACACTGGTGTCTTTGAGACCTGGACACATGTCACGGACAGCTAGAGCTAGAAGTGAAAATGAATGATTATGACTTTCAAACAAGCTCTCGCTTGCAAACCTCTTGGAATCGCAAAGTCTCGTCAACGTTCAGAATGCAACACGCATCTCTAAGGAGGTCATCCTTAGAGAGGAGAGCGTCCTCTCATTCCGCTCTGATGGACTTTTCGTGCGCGGTGGGCCTGGCGCACACAGAGCCGCGCGCTACAAGGACAGCTTACGGAGCCGTCAAATCACAACTGGCCGGTTGGCCCAATGGCAAGGCGTCTGACTACGACTAAGCGTTTCTACGATTTAGCATGTTATCAGGAGATTCTGGGTTCGACCCCCAGGCTGGTCAATTGTTTTGCTTCCCTCGCCAATGATCTTCTTACTGTTTGTTTTTTGAGTCAACTTAAAGAATAATTACAATTTCTGACTGTTTCTAGCGGCCCTCGGTCGTTTTTTGACCAAGAACCACTATTTTGCAGCTAGGAAACGATCCAGACTTGTGGGCAACGTCAATGAGCGCCTAGCATACGAATATTGCATGTTCTTACCAGGATGATTGTGCAATCGATAGAAGCTGAAGACTAAACCTCTGGGCTTGCTTGCTGTTCGTCTGCTCGGACTCAACCCTTTAGTTCTTTAAACCAACAGCGGGGATGTTGCGACGCTGACCGGCGATCGACATTACTGCAGGTGGCATTCGACTTACATTTCTAGACTTAGCATATCATTTGTAAACTCTTCCCACGAATCCAAGCAGGAAACCTGGCACTATGCACTTGGTAGCCATGCCAAGTAAGCTAGGAGCCTGTCCTACAACGTCGGATGCATCCCCCGCCTCTGCGATACGACACAACTGGGCCGGTCCGCCTGGGCGTACCCTAGAACCGGAGCTTTTTCAAATCCGTTTCCAAGTCTTTGAGGAGATCATTTGCCTTGGAAGGCATGCTTCATCGTGGAAGCAGCCGACAACGGGATGTCTTTCATGTAGCCAAGCACTTCTCTCTAGTTCTTAGACTACCAACCAGCCAGATAATTCTCTTCAAATCTTCAATGTTCATTCCTTTCTACAAAAACCAGCAAAGCTAAAGCCCAAATCAATTCATTCAACTGTTCTTCACGAACCGCCATGAGACTAAAAACTCTAGAGATGGCCTATCTAGGCGCAATAGCGCTGGCGACTGTGTCCGAAGGTTTGTATACCAAATTTCCACCCGATCTTACAGAGGTGGACGTCATAATTGCTGGAGGTAAGTCTGGTCTAGGTGTTTCTTAGTGTTCAAATCCTTATGAGGAACGTAGGAGGCACTGCTGGCAGCATTGTTGCCTCACGACTCGCCGAAGCAGACCCAACGTTGTCGATTCTTATCGTCGAGCAGGGCCAAGATAGCTTCAATGTCACAAATGTCATCTACCCGGCGCTATTCGAACGGAATACTCTGCCCGATTCCGATACGGCTCTGTTTTGGAAGGCCAACAGGTCGCCGCAGCTGGCGGATCGTGAGCCAGTGGTTGAGACAGGCGGCATTCTCGGGGGCGGATCAGCTATAAACTGGATGGTGTACACTCGCGGGCAGTGGGATGATTTTGACTCCTGGAATACGTCGGGTTGGTCTGCAGAAGAACTACTGCCGCTTCTTCGAAAGGTTTTACTTTTCCATCTTTTCATTGCTTAAAATTACTCACAATGGCTGATACATACCCCAGGTCGAAACGTATCACGGCGCAACTACCAATGAATCTACTCACGGGTATGATGGACCGATTCATGTATCAAAAGGAACGCACCAGGCGCCTCGAGCTGAAAGAGGCTGGATTGATGGGGCCATCGAAGCAGGTTGGTCAGAGGTAGAAGATCTCCAAAGTTTGCACTCTAACAATGGCACCGGGCCCTGGTATCGATATGTCTCGCCTACCGACGGTCGTCGCCAAGATGTCGCTCATCGTTACTTGCACCCACTTCTACAAAGTGGCGAGTATCCTAATCTGCATGTGCTCGTAGAGACTCAAGTCCTCCGTATCCTGTTTGAGGGAGAAGAGCACCGCGCCGCTGGGGTGGAAATCCGACCCAACCCAGCATTCGAGAAGGATGCTCGGAATAATAGCACCACGACGGTCAAGGCGAGAAAGCTAGTGGTTGCTTCCGTGGGATCCTTTGGAACTCCCTTGCTTCTTGAAAGATCCGGTGTTGGTGATCCTGCAGTGTTGGAAAAGGCGGGCATACCGATTGTCGAAAGTCTCGATGGGGTAGGCAATGACTTTCAAGGTAAGTCTGATCTCACTTTTTGGGCGATACTTCCTAATGTCTTTAGATCATCACTTTGTCGGGTACGTCTACCGCACAAACCTCGACCAGAATGAAACCATCAACGGAATAGCCCGAAATGACAGAGGGCGAGACGTGGATGCGATGATTGCCGCCGACGACAAGCAACTTGGATGGAACGGCCACGATGCCTCTAGCAAGTTCAGACCGTCTCCTACTGATATTGCAGCTTTGGGACCGGAATTTCAAGCTGCTTGGGACAGGGACTTCAAAGACTCGCCCAACCGTCCTCTAATGATCATGGGACTCTTCAACGCCTACTTCGGCGACCCTGCTGCTCTTCCTGATGGTGCCGAATATGTTACCACCGCACCCTGGGTAACATACCCATACGCGAGGGGACACGTCCATGTCACTGGGCCAAGTATCGACGATCAGTACGACTTTACCACTGGCTGGCTACTTGACGAGAACGACATTGACCTGAAGAGCCATATCTGGGGGTACAAGACACAGCGAGCCATTGCTCGTCGGATGGAAATCTTCAGAGGCGAGCTTGCATTAGGGCACCCTAAGTTCGCCAATACATCGAGCGCCGCTGTTATTCAGGTGACTGAAGGGCCGATCACTGATTCGATTGAGTACTCTGTCGAAGACGACGCTGCAATCGTCCAGTACATCCGTGAAAACATTGGGACCTCGAGGCATCCTCTTGGTACCTGCAAGATGGCGCCCCGAGAGAACCGAGGAGTTGGTATGTAGTTCTGCTAAGCTTGAAGATTGAGCCTTGTACTGACATCAAATGTTACAGTTGACCCCCTATTGAATGTCTATGGTGTATCCGGGTTGAAGATTGCGGATCTCAGCGTGCCAGCTCAGCAAGTTGCTGCTAATACGTATAATGCTGCACTGCTTGTGGGAGAGAAGGCTGCAGAGATCATCATCAGAGACTTGGGGCTTTGATTAATTTTCGTAACGCTGATGCATGCTTAGCAACGAGATATTGAATACAGCGCGTGAGAATAGGCTGACAGGAATTGTAATCGCGCGATCTGATTGAAGACGATAGGTTGCATCATGAAGTCCCAAGGCCGCGAGACGACCATCAACTCTTCGGTTCATGGCCATCTTGCAAGCGCAGAATTATGTGACAGCGTGCGCTTACTCGCATTGAGTGTACAAAACTTCAGGCATCGAATGAAGCGTTGATACGTCTGAGTGAGATACAGGAATCGCTGCCTGCACCCTGCGTAAGCAGTGACGAGTCGAGCTCAGGCATCCACTATTCGCTTCTAGTTTAAAAGGGATGAAATGCCATGGCTTAATCTGGCTCAATACCCTCAATATCTTTAGTCGCATATCCCCTTCCAAGCATCCACCAAATACACTTCATCCACTAGTCTTTTGCAATGATCGTCACCGAGCTTGGAGCCGCAGGCGTCAAGCCCGGCCTCAGCATTATGGATGAGTCCACACTCGAGGGGCAGATATATATGGGCGTCTATCGTAAGATTATCGTTGCACCTGGCGCTCCCCATCGGTTATTTCTGGGAGTCGAACTTGAAGATCCAACCATGTCCTGGGGCTTCTTCGATTGGGACTCGATTGAGCACCACGAGAAGTTTGCCAAAGAGTAAGTCAAAACTATCGCACACAAAGAGCCAGTTCTGATGAATATCAGATACGGTGCGGAACTATGCAAAGATTTGCCTAAAGTTCTGACATACGGAGAATTCTGCAAGCATATCACCGCCACGCCAAGCTTCCCAGATGCACTGAAGTCCCCCGTGACTGATGTCTACATCATCTACTTTCCTTCAGACATTAACCCTGAAGCAAAAGATACGGCGACTGCACGACTTCATAAAATCCTCAAGGAAGGCTTCGGTCAAGTGCCTGAGATTACCGCCACTAGCTATGGCTGGGGAGTCCAAGACAATTTCCCCGTGAAGGGAGGAGATCCCAATCAGACAGGTTCCATCTTGACAGCGTTTGTCGGCTGGTCCAATCTTGAGGCAAACAACACCTTTCATCAGTCAGAGACATACAAGGAGATTGAAAACAAACTTCAAAATATGGAAGGGTTGATCAGATTGAGACCTTTCCGCCTCAAGTGCATTGTGCTTGAGAAGGAGGCACAGTAGATCTAGGAAGCAAATTGGAAGGCAACAAATGATTGAGGAAAGGGGCAGCTGCAAAGGGACTACGCAGTCGCTACAGATCACGCATTGTTTGAATCTCTTTACATACTCTCACATGGCCATTCCCATTCATTCAATATAACAGAAACAGCTGGAAGCAATTGTTGGTGTGATTCATCCCTGAACATGTGCTGCATGAGTAAATACATAAGGCAATCTGAACTCCATACTATCCGATTCGCCACCATTCCGTTTCCTCCCAAACTAGGTACATGAAGCCATCTTAGGCCGTGGGTGTGGCCATTGCAGGAACTACCATATTAGCAAGCGGCGCCGCCGTTCTCTTCATGCCACTCGGCCCGCAAGTGCTGACCTTCAAACCAGCATAGATGGACGAATAAGCTGCTGGAAGAAGGTTGTCTGCGCTTCCTGCCTTAAGGGTTCCGACGTAAGGATTGAAGTTGTAGATACCACAAGGGCAGTGGTCTAGAATCTGCATACCAGCAGTCCCAGAGAGAATGGAAGACCCGCCGCGAGCCATATTGAAGGCGACGGTACCAGGCTTCATATCAACAGAGAACTTGGCAGCACCAGCAGGGGCTTGGAAAGTCTGACTGTTGCCGGCAACATTGACGGTCAAAGATGCGGCCTCCTTGAGTAGCGTCACGATGTAAACCTTGTCCTCCATGGTTTGCCATCCATCCGGCCTTCCCTTGAAGTAGTTGCCAGAAGAGTTGTTGGCATCGCTCATTGTAGTGTCAGTCGCGTCGCAATTGATTCCTCGGAGAGTCGGACGGAACCAGTAGACCACCTTTTCTTCAGTGATGTAGGTCTTTGGATCACTAGCGCCGGCTTTGAACGCCTTGATGAATGGCAGTGCCATGTCGAGCCATCCGTTGTGGGGGAATCCGTAGACCCATTTGGAGTTCCCGTCATCACCGTGCGGGCTGTCAAGACGTCCGACGTAATGACTTTCGCCGTAGTCATTCCAAGTCACAATCTCAAGGAAGCGTGGCTTAAGTGAAAGAATTTGCTGCCACCGATCGTACCAGAGGGTATCGGAGGGAAAGACCCAGTTCTTGGAATACGGGACCTCGGGGCCAAAGTGCGTGAAGAACCACGGTGATACTGGTGCAATGTACGGCTTGCCCTTGAGTGCCGTTGTGTACGCCGCATCACCCTGTTGGACTGAGACGTTGCCTCGACCGTCGGGGGCCTTATTGAGTCCGTTATTGGGCCAGCCGAGCCAGTTGAGAGCACCGTCAATAACGCTAAAGTCAGTGCCAAATTCCGGATGGAAATTGGGTGCCCAGAAGACGGGTACACCGGCAGCACTGCGCATAGCACCAACATCTAGCCCGTCTCCCGCAAACGAAGACGCAAACGCCTTGCCGTCAACCATGAGCTGAGCGGGACGGGAGGCGTACTTGGCGATCATCTGGCCGACGCGAGTTGCCTCACTTGTTTGGTACCAGTTGAAGTCGAAGGAGATGAAGACCTTCATGCCGTTGTTGGCAGCAGATTGGTAAGCTAAGTCGAGCTGGGCTTCGGTGTAAGGGTCGACGCCAATGTTGAGAGCAAAGGCGTCAATGCCAGCGGCCTTGGCGTTCTGCATATCAGCATCGTACTCGCTGGGCGAGCTACGTGCACCAACGATGCCAATCTTTCACCATTGTCAGCCATGAATTACAGATATGGGAGGATTAATTCAAACTCACCATGAAGTGACAAAAGACAAGCTTCTCACCACTATCTTGGCGAAGACTGAGAGTGTCGCCATGAGCGGATGGAACCGTCAGGCAGGTGGCCAAAGTGAGCATGGCCGCAGCCAGAAAGGCGTTGAAAATACGAGTGTAAATCATTCTGGATCGTTGTGATGTCTTCAATCCGGGCCTGCTAGTTACACAGAAGAGAAATGAAGAAACCGAGAAAGTCCTCTTTATAAGTCCGGATTACTTGGCGCCTTCCGAAGCGCTCTGTCTCTCGCTTTGGCTCTTTCTTCGTCTGTTCTCCCGTTTCCCCTGCTCTTTCCCGTCCGCTAACAAGCGTGGCAGGCCGCACTGGCATCCCGCATGATTCCAGGGTCAATGTCATGGAGCTCTGCATATCGACTTTGTGCCCGAGATGCTTCGCAGATCTGTTACCTCACTTCAAAGAGAAGGTCCGAATCGTATGTCTGCCATAAGTCTGATGATGCCACAATGTCCACATCGACAACCCTCTTATTCCGGCTAATTGCTCATGGGATGCCGGCAGTTTGCATAATCAGGCACAGAGCCTTCCTGCGGTCAACTGCAGCAAAAACACTAGTGGCATCAAGAATCTTATGTCACGTTGCAGTCATGCCTTGCTCTGGTACATGTAGCCTCTAATCACATACTTGTCCTCGGAGAAAAGGGTTGAAGTGAGGACAAATCTCCGTTTGTTGGAATTCGAGAGAACAAACAAAAGGGTTTGCTCTTTTCATACATCATTCCGCACAAGCGACAAATCATGGGCAACCACATATGTCACAGGGCCTCGAATCACCGTCCCTAGAATCTTTGAAGTCATGCTTATTTCCTCCTTTGGCCGCTGAATGGGCAGTTGAGAATCCATGTCATTCGGCCCGCGCTGACTGCTGGTCTCCGAATACAACCCTCCCAACAACCCGACTGACGTCCCCTTGGCCAGAGTCATTTATCTGGGGTGCATATGGAAAAGGTGGAAACTTGTGTCCAGACCGTGCCAGATGTCAGTAAGCACCACATGACGGAATGTCTCGTCGGCTTGCCACATGGTTGGTGTCAACACCCGGCGGTGCGGAGTAGTCAAGACAAATCACAAGCACAAAATATGAACGACCCTCCAATCAACATCAGAATCAAGCCCTACTGCGGTAGTTGACCTCCCTGCAGGTGGTAATATCCCGACGCCAAATACTCCCAAGATGGGATGATTGCAACGGAGAAAATCGGGGGTTCCTTAAACCGACGTCAACTCTCCGCGTCGTCGGGTTGGGATCATAGAAGAGAAAACAAATAGTATCATATGGGAGAAATGCAGGATCTCCATGCCCAAACAGTATCACAGCTGGCCAAGATCTAAGACCGCGTACAGCATAAAATTGTGATGAAATACCGTCATCATCTGCAAGACTATGCCCGGTCATCATAGAAAATACCACTGACTTGCAGTAAAACGTAAGCACATAGCATGCAAACACTGAGTCGGTCAGGACTGCCCACTTTTCGACAAATCATCTTGTGGTTTGAATATTTGGTAGAGATGGTGCCCTTGAGATGTGACCCTCTTTTGCTGCAATCTTGTGACACTCATCAGGCCGCTCAAAATATCGCAGAGAACCCGCCACAAGCTCCACGATCTTTTGCCCTATTCCCTGTCTTGAAAATAATCTCATGGCATCTGTTAGAGCATAGTGTATGTTAAGGATAAGGACCTTCTCTTTTGGGAAGCTTTGATGCGCAGTTACCAACATTGTTTCACCCAATCGTGAGGTTGATCTTGGCCTCCTTTACACTCGTGAAGCTCCACGCACACAACTCCCATCTGGAAGAGTAATCGAAAGATTTCGGCCCTTTTTTTCAAGAGTTCATTCCATGGGTTACTTTCCAACCAATATGTGGTTACGGTGAAGCTTCCATGAAAGAAAAAATGTCAGGCGGCAGGCGCGCATCTCCATTGAAGGCAACCCAATAACAAGATCTTCGTTTAATTCAATTATTCCCCCAATGATCAAAATGCCGCTGAGTATTCTCGCAGTGTCCGATGATGTTGAACTTTCGGCCCTTAAAAATCTGGTTACATTTTGTACTTGTGATTGATGCAGTCCGCGCCGTGACCGCCCCGGACTTCCGTCCCATCTGCAGGTGGTAGGACTCAGAGGCTGTACCATCACACTCTATTCGATATGTCACGTTGTCTCAACGTCAAAGATGGTTGACGAAGTTGTTGAGGGTTCTGTTGTGAGCCTGTACAGTCACACGTTTGAGTCTTGTTTCTCTATCAGAGGGCAGAACGACAGACATTGGTTATATATCGTTGATCTGGACGTGCACTCCTGGAAGGGATCGGATTGAGAGAAGTCCAAACCGAAATAGCACACCTCAATCTGTAAAAGCCCTTGGATTTAATTGAGCCATTTAGGATCGTTCGACAGGCTTTCAGAATGGCACCGGTCTCTCAGATATACCTCTCTTTGCTGGCGTGGATGCTTTTGCCGGTATTGGGTCAAACAACGAAGCCAGTTTATGCGCACTTCATGGTAAGAACATCACTAAGTTGACGAGCCAACTAAAAATCACTCTCTAACTCAAATAGCTCGGTATCGTCGAAAACTACACCATATCAGACTGGCACCTCGACATGACCCAAGCCAAAGAAATCGGCATCGACGGCTTCGCCCTAAATTGCGCCCCAGCCCGCATCGACAGCTACACCCCCAAGCAACTCGCAAACGCCTACCAAGCAGCTCAAGACCTCAACTTCACCGTCTTCATCTCCTTTGACTTTGCGTACTGGTCCACGGCTGACACCGCAGAAATCACCTCCATCGTTGGCAACTACAGCGCGCACCCAGCCCAGGCGCGGTACGACGGCGGCGCCATTGTTAGCACCTTTGTCGGCGACAACATGAACTGGACCGCGGTGAAGAATGGCATGCCACCCGGACAAAAGCTTACTGCACTCCCGATGATTCAGGATCCTGCATGGCTTTCCGTTGCGAATACGGGGCTCGACGGCGCGTTTTCGTGGTATGCGTGGCCAACGGATGGGGGGAATAGCATCATTCCTGGTCCGATGACGACCATCTGGGACGATCGGTATCTAGCAAATTTGGGAAGTCGTCCGTACATGGCTCGTAAGTAATCGGGCTCTGATCTCTCTCCTCTGCCTTACATACTTAGGTAGGAACAGTATACTGACACAGCAAAGCGGTCTCGCCCTGGTTCTCCACACACTTCAACACCAAGAATTGGGTCTTCATCACGGAAGAGCAGCCCACCATTCGCTGGGAGCAGATGCTTGTCATGAAACCTGCGCTAGTTGAGATCATTAGCTGGAACGGTGAGTTTTGCTGCGTCTTGTTGTCGATACATGACTGAATCATCTGGACAGACTTTGGTGAAAGTCACTACATCTCGTAAGTCAGCCTGTATCCAGCTCACACAAACATAAAGCTTAAAGGACTGACGTCTTCAAGCGGCTCACAACCAAACCACTCCGACGACGGATCCTCCGCCTGGGCAACCGGCTTCCCCCACGACGCCTGGCGCACCCTAATGAAGCCCTACATAGCAGCCTACAAATCCGGCGCCGACAAGCCCACCGTCGTCAGCGACGAGCTGGTCTACTGGTACCGCCCAACGCCCAAGAACACGGTATGCACAAACGACACCCTCGGCGCCCCCAACGGGATCCAGTATCTCGCCGACGTGGTATTCGTGGCCACGATGCTCACGCAGCCAGCCACTCTCACCGTCACCAGCGGAGGCCAGGCGCCGGTCACGGTTCCCGTCGGTGCCGGGATACAGACCACCAACTTCACCATGGGTATTGGTGCCCAGAAGTTTTCGGTTGCCCGGAACGGGGTTCCGATTCTTGGGGACACGAGCAGCAAGGAGATTAGCGGTGCTTGTCAGAAGTATAACTTCAACGCCTTTGTTGGTTCTTTCAAAGCCTGAGTTGAACGTGGCGTTCTCGATCAGTCTGGAGAGCAATGGTGCTTAGTTGAAGCAATGTTGTATCTTTTCGAGTCAGCGGGGGTAGTAATATTTGATCCATCGTTGTAACTCCATATCTAATCTTGCAACGAATTTGACGGTAACAATCGAAGGGGTATCAAGGGATTCTGAGTGGAACGGCCGCTGGCGTAATCTCATGCGTGATCTGCCCAGCGAGATCGACGGAAGCCTACTCCCAGAACTTTCACTTCCATTGCATGTGTCCCTATCAGACTCCAGAAAAGAAGGTCTATCTAAGCGTTTCCAGTCTCGCTTACTGTGTAACACCCCCGCCACCGTGCTCCTTCCACTCGGACATGTTCGCCGACCACGCTGTCGAACTTCTCGATGCCACGAGGCGAGCCTTACTGTCCATACACTTGGAAGTGAGCTTTTGCAATCGTGTCTATTCGTCCCACCACGGCGGCTCGAGCTCCTGAGGATGTACGCATAAGATTCACGTACTGAAATATACCGCCTAGGGTAAATGAAGCTCGTGCAATCAACCGCATCCGATGATCCACCGTCACCGGATGGGAATAGAGTCCCGGATTCTGAAGAGCCTTTTATTGTTCCGAGGTTGGGACAGGATAATTAGACAATTTAAGATCCTTCCGTAGACGGGAGGCACGACAACGGACCAAGGGCAATGCTCAAAAGGACTTTTGGACGGGTTGTTGAGAGAACGCCGCGTGTCTGGCCCTATCAGAAGCTCAGAAAAGAGAATAAAAAGGCACGGTGCTGCGGAATAGCCCTTCAATCGCCTGGTCCGCCCGGTACATCAATGCGCTTCCCCGGATTCCGTGCACCCATCTAGGGCTTGACTACTGATCTCCGCCTCGTAGAACCCCCAAGGACATCGGTCTCAAAATGCTTCCCGTCACCGTATTCGCAATCCTCGGATGTTAATCCCATCATGGGGTACTGCGTTGCTGAGTTTGGAGTTGCACACACCCCTGGACTCTGCCGCGCGCTGGAATCATCAGATGATGTTTGACCAGCAAAGAGGGACACGTTTGACGGCACGCAGCGTCCCGACAGGCTTCGGAACCATGTCTCGTCGCAATCATGAGCGACTCCGAAGGCTATCACAGTCATGAACAGACCCAGCGAAGCCTTGGAGGGGACCTGACTTGGTCTAATCACGGATATCATCGAGAACTCAGTAAGAGGTGTTGACAAATGTTCATTTTCTTGACACATAGATAGGCTTGCTTTGTGCAAATATGCGCAAGCTCTGTACATAGCGAATCCAAGCTTGAAACTGAGTGCAAGTACGAAGACGCCCCAGGACTCTGTAGACCGTCCCATTAATACCGTGAACCAGAAAATGACACATTGAGAACTGGGCAACAAAGATGAACTGCCAAATGGACAAGAATCATAGCATAATGAACAAAATGAGAAGAAAAGGTTGTCCGTGTTGGATGTTTTTGTAGTTGTAAGAAAAAGTCGTAGTAGTAGGATGTGATATGGTATACTGGTAGAGAAGTAGTAGTAGGTAGTGATGAGGGTGTCCTCTGTTTGGTATCATTGTTGTTAGTCTTGCGTCTGCCACGGCAGCGCATTTTCGTCCACGATTTGCTCTTGTTTTTCTCTTTTTCCGTGTGCCATTTCTGCGCCGTTCAATTCATCCACTCGGTGGTTTTGGGAAGAGATGATAAAAAGGAAAAAGTGACCCGCCCGCCTTGTCATCTGTGGTTCTTGGACCAATGTCGTAGGAAATCGTTGCTCACTCAAACAAGGGCAATTTTAACATCACCCTCTTGAGGTTGAGTTTGCGGCAGGACAGCCTCGCGTTGATCCCGCTTCTTCTTCCCAAGCCTCTCACACCACTCCTCGGCACTGACAATGGTGCCATCAAGGACTCCACTGACTTGCGACATCATGTCGAGACCCTCTTTAGCAAGAACAAGTACACGATGGGCACCCTCGCGCATCGCCTCCTGGTCACCAACTTTCTCAGCCTGTTGGTGTTCAACCATGCTAGCATAACGGAATCGCTGTGGCAGAGTAGTCAGGTGACGGCGAACCAACAGACGGGCGTTCTCGGGTAGGGCACCGCCAGCGTATTTGGAAACAGTCACGATGACATTCTGTAGTGTCTTAAGAACGTCACCTTTGAGCGAAGCAATCTTGGCCGCCAGGATTGTACGCTCCTGTTCAGACATTGGCTCGGGTTGGCTGTCAGCCATGACGTAGTCGCCATCGCTGGTGACTGCAGTCTGCTCTTCCTGTTGGGGTTGGCCCGGCTTCTCGAATTGTTCAAGAGTGGTCTTGAGATTGTTGATGACCCCACCAATATGCTCGTTCGCCCAACGCAGCCATCGAAGACAGTACTTCAGGCTCCTGAGACTCTCGTCGCTCATAGCAACACTCAGACCCGAGGTTGACATTATGAGACGAGATTGCCAAGCTGCGTTTGATGATGTGGGTCGCTCGGCCTTTTCGTTTTCACTGTAGGCCGGGGATCGGTAGTCGTCATACGCTGGCAGAGTATCAATGGTGCTAGCTCGTGAAAGTCGGCGGTCGTGCTTGAACACATATGGATCACGGGGAGAATCGACGTCAGGCATGATGTTACTCTGCGCATCGATCATGAGCCTAGCCAAGTCTTCTCCCGTATCGACCTTGCGCCGCTTATGAGACCCTCCGTCGGCAGCTTCAATGTCATTGGACTGATGCCGTCGACCGGCGCCGAGGAACCAGCGTACGCCACCCTCAACACCTGTCTTCCGTCCAACCGTGCCGACAGTGTTGGCAATGGGCGTCAAGTAACCCTCTACATATTCGGCGCTGGATTTGAATCTCGGGGAAAAGTTTTTGGAGTTATTGTAAGCCGACGTGGCACCTTCAATAGTGGTCGCGAGTAATGGATGGGATGTTGTCAAAAGTGAGAATAAGGGTTCTTCAGACTTGAGTTGTGGATTTGAAGTGATTGACACGGCCGGCGAGGCTCTCGGTAGGGGTGTGTGACGGGCGGGAGGGGAGTTGATGAAGTCTAGACATGTTAGCTTTCATCTTGAAGCACAAAAAGGGCTTCGCAAATGACGAACCGGCTCGCAGATCCCCAAGTGCTTCGGCTGCCATGCGCACATCGGGGTCGTCAAGGCTGACACTGGCAGCGCGTCCTTCGTAAAACCGGTCTGGGGACGCTGCGCTCATGGCGCTATTGCTAACTACGTCGAGGTCCATTCGCGCAGGCGAGTCGGCGGACTGGGCATGACTAGGTGTATAGTACGTCGTGAGGGGGTTGAGGCTCGGCCAGTGGGTGAGGGGTACTGTTGTCGTCGAGGACCGCTTCAGGGAGGATGTGGTTGATTGGGGTTGTGATTGCGGCTGGTGATGCTGATGTTGGTGCTGCTGCGCTTCAATAGGTTGAGATTGAGCGACGATGGGAGTGAACCGCGGGGGCGGGGGACCTGTCACGGATGAGAGAGATGGCAGGTTGTGACCGACGTTATCATTGTGTTTGGCGGCGGGAAGAATGGGTGCAAGCTCGGTAGTCGGGGCGTCGGGAAACCTCAGCAGGTTAGGATCGTGGGATTGGGTATGCGCATAGCTCGGGGGAGCATATGAAGGCAGCTGGGACGGGAGGTGTGTCGGATCAAAGCGAGTGTGAGAGAGTACGTGCTTGTTGGGTTGAGAGGCGGTGGAAATAGAAGCGGAAGCAGGCGTAGAGGTAGACGCAGAAGCAGAAGCAGGTGGGCGGATGTGGTGCGTGTGGGCGAGAAACGAGGAGGATGGTGGCAGCTGGCGGTCTTCAGGCGCAGGCCCGTGCAGCATGTGATTTTGGCTCTGGCTCATGCTCTGGCTCAGATCCATTTCGCAAAGTATATTCGGACGGCGGCTCGAGACTTCGCGGGGAGGGGGTCGGCGGAGAAGCAGCAAGAGAGGGATGAGCGAGACCGGCGCGGCTGTCTCAGCGGTCAACTATGGACTGGCATGAGTGGAGATATGACTCTCGTGTCCCGAGGCCGTTGTGATTCTGAGATTTTTTTTTTTTTTTTTTGCAGATTTCCCAGCCGACGTTAGGGAATGTTGTAGTCTGCCTCGGTGCAGCAATGTGCAGACGCGCGGGTCAGAACGAACGTGAGGGAGAGCAGACGAAGGGGTGAAAGTGGCTGCGGGCGGCGCGAGAGAGGTTCATGTAGTACGGTTTGGGTCAAAGGTGGCGAAGGACAGGCAGGACGACGGAGCGGATTTCGAAGCCAACGAACGAACAAGGGAGCGAGGCGGCAGGAGATGTGGTTTCGGGGGACGACCGAGTGGAGGGCGGATCTGGAGAAGCGAGGGAGGGATGGTGGTGGTAATCGTAGGCGTAGCGTGTGGTGGTGGGATGAGTCCGGTCCGTGTATCTTGCAAAGTAGCGCGGAGCGTAGCGCTGGGGGGGAGGGTTGGTGTGCGTGTACCCTCTGGAGGGCACCTCTATTATTACTATACGGTAAGTAGTATGTTACCTCGATCGAGAGGAAAGGATTGCGTGTGTTTGAAAAATGCTTGTGTAGGTATGTGAGTGTAAGAGTTGAAGTGTGTGCGGCAAGCGGGAGACCAGGAACCGTAGTAGATGTCGAGGAGAAGAGATACTGAAAGGTGGAGGTATGCCGGGGGTGGTGGTGTTCTGTCGATTTGGGTGACGGGTGATTGATGGATTGATGGATTGACGGATTGATGAATTACTTGATTTGATTGACGGGGGGTGGGAGAGAAGAGGTGGATGTGGTTGTGGTGGGAGGATGATGCCGCACCAGAGCGCACCCAGGGTGAGGATGGACGGACGGGACGGGCGACGATGGGGGACGGGGGAGGTCGAAAGACTCGGGACAGGAAGGGGCGACGCTCACAATGCGAGGAACGAGGTAGTCACGTACCTCGTGCCTCCCCCAAAGCGAAAGAGAGGCAGGAGGCAGGCGGCGACAACACCGCAGCTGGCAGGCACGCGGGCCACACCCATTGCGGCGGGAAGGAGAAGGGGTCACTGGCGCATGTGGTGGGCTGGGATACTTGAAGGTACCTGTCTTTCACAAGTCACCTTTGTCTCGGTTCAGGCTGCAAATTGCACCCTTCTGGAGACCATATATACTTGGCTTGCAGTACCCGAGATTGTACCTTAACTTCTCTCCCGTCACGGTTCCAGATGGTGGATGGATAAGGTACAAATGGGGGCCGGGATACCACGACGGAGTCGATCTTGGGTAAGGTACACTACGGAGTACTTGGGCACTTCGGTCCTCACCATGGCCTGGGTACCTAAGCAATGGAAACTATCAATCGACGTTAGATTCAATAAGAGCTTGCTGGGGAAAGTCACTCTCGTATTGAAAGCTAATCACTTTACTTCCTCTAGATCTTGCGTCAACTAACTTTCTCCATTGCTGAACTAGAAGCTTTCCGTGGGGAAAAAGACATGAGACGGACACGGGAAAGTGTCCGTCAGCCGTACGCGTACGGGGGAAGACAGGCGGCTAATTTCCTCTGGCTCTTGTCACTCGGCTTTGGTCTCTCGCAGTACGGAGCAGTGCTCATTGCTCCGACTTCCGAGTTCCCCATGTGAAGGTCCAGGTAATAGGTAATGTGATGCGCTGTCGTTGGTACTGTTTTCTGCCCGTCCATCTCGTCTGCCCAACGACTTGACTCCTCTGTTTCTCGCTTGAGTCGTTCCGTGGGGGGGGGGGGGGCTGACCGAAAGAGACTTCTCGGCACCGTGATTATGTGGCTGATTTGACTTGGGCGGGTAAGGGTATAGGTATCGCACTCACCACTGTATCCGTCTGTAAGCAGACCATGCGTGATAACCAGCGTAAAGCCAGCCCACATTCCTAGGCCCAACAAGCATAGCCATGAGGTATCTCGTCCTGTGTCTCGAACCTCTCGACTCCTCAGTGACGGCAAATACAGTGCTGTACGGAGTACAGCGCGAGGCACGCTGCTCAACGAGCAGGGGGGCGACGGCAGACGCAAGACCCAATCATCGTCCACATGCGAGTCCACGTTCCCGTTCGGGACAGGTCAGGCGGCACTGTCTATGGTCCATCTCGTTGAGAGTCTGCAGGGTCCGAGGCACTGTTCCGCACTGGCAGCCGCTAAACTCAAGACAGAGATACGGGCTAACGCTACCTTGCTGCTGACATCTGTCAGTACTCTGTGTACCAATAGAAGGCAGTAGGGAACTCAGCTGGAAAGCCGCAATTCAGTAGTGTATGTACACAAAGTGCCTACTGCGTAGATACTCGCAGTCTGACGCAAGGTAGCTAATCGTATGGGTCCGTACCCCATGTAAGAGAAGTGAGGTGGTATCGGTGTTGGGTATCCGTATCACTATCCAGTATCCATGGACCATATGCTTCGCCCGGGCCAGCAACAAAAAAATAGCCGACGACGATGGGTGGGAGTCGGTTACAGAAACAGACGCGAACCTTAGCAGATTCAAGGCCATACTCTGCAGGAATGCCGTGACAGAAACGGGATTCAGAGAGTGCCATTGCCACAGCTACCGCTAGGGTACAGTGTGAGTGTATCCATACACCGGTCGAGGACGCAAGTCACTGGTGTGTAAGGTAGGTTGTAAGGGTGTGCTGTCGGGTTCGTTCTTGTCTGACGATGCGCTGCTCGCTGGCCTGACATCTGCAGACTCCAGAGTGCAGACCGCATTTTGGGTTTACCGACCAACTGACCTCGTTGTCGCATGGAATATTGTCTTTGTTTCTTTTTTCTTGAGCCACCATCAGGTCTTGACTGCAATGACTGGAATGTGAAGACTGCTAGACTGAGACCTGAGACTTGGTTACTATCAGTTTGCGCCCAGACCGCTTGTGAGAAAAGTGAGGATGACCGTTTCGCTGATCGTCCTACAGCGAATCCTGCAAGCTATTCTTCCAGCCAACAGCTGGTGGCCTCTTCCTGGTTATGACTTGTAGGTATTCGTACTGTGGTGCACTGGTGCCGTTGGCAGTAAGAGAGGACCCTAGCCTGTGATCTGGGACACACAGGGGGCAAGCCTGGGAGAGAGTTGAGGGGGGAACAGGAGATCAGGGCCAAAGTTGGGGAAGCACGTGTCAGAGTTGTTGGGGCCGTCATCACATGCATCTGGCTGGGTTGGACGGGATGAACAAGTAACTTAGCATGTGTGGGCTCTGTTAAGCTTTCCGCTGTGTTTCTGCTTTTGATACTATCATTCTTGAATGCCGGCTGTGTCACAAGGCATCAACTGACAACGGGCGGTGGCCGGGTCGGCAAGCCGGCATTCGGCCCCAGGCACAAACCAGGCTTCCTCGCCGTTTGATTGGCCTGTCGCTTCGTTCCTGCTACGTCACCCTGGAGCACGGGCTCCTTCTTTCCATGTGAAAGCGAAAAAAAAATCTCTGGAAAGAGGCACACGCGCACAGAGGGGAAGAACCCACGGCTCATGAGCCTTCCGCAAGTCGAGGATTCCCAGCCCACACTTGAGACGCGTTTCCGGTCACCTGTCTCTCCAAAAACGGCATCCGCGACTTGCAACCACCAACCTGATCTTCACAAGTCCAGCTGGGCCCCTTCCTTTTACTGCGTGTCTGCCAGCCCTGCCTGCCCCAAAAAAAATTCTCAATCCGGGGCCTCATAAACTCGCAATACCGGTACCTTAAGGTACCTTAGGTAGCTTAGGCAATCATCCCACAGCTGCCGTTAAAAGCCCATAATCACGTGCGATTTGCTGCACCTCTGCTGACTCTGAATTCTTGGAGGGGAATTGGTGGGACTTTGCAGAATGGGTTGCCGGATGACCATGGCAATTTTCTCTAGATCCGCTCAAGGGTCTAGTTGTTCCCGCTGACGTTCTTTCCTGTGACGCCTTTTTCATGGATCTACCATGCCCTTTTTTATTTTCTTCTATCTCTCCATCATCATCCGAGATTCCGCCGTTGCCGTCTGTACATCAAAACCACATGCAAATTAAGGTACACCACCACACGTCAGATGTGAAGCCGCAGTAGTCTGTCCGATTTGCTTTGCAAGAGTAACAGCCGATAACCTGTATTGGGAGATTGGATTACAAGATCCAATCTACACGAATCTTGCGAAACCGATGCCCAATCATGCAATTGAAGCACCAACGCAATCTCTCACCTTCACCCACCCGGCCTTATCAATAATCACCATCGACATCGAGGTGCCATACTGCGCTGATTCCCAAAATGGCAAACGCGCATCTTGTTTGAACCCGATTCCAACTTCCAAGACCTTCTTCCAAGTTCCCAGTTGCTGCCCGCCGGCTTACTTGCCTGTTCGCCCTGCATCGCACGACTCAGTCCTATCTGCTACCCGCCTATCCTGACGAGTTATCTGCCACAAATGATGGCCATGTGATTGCATCTCAGACCCGAGAAGGTGGATCAGCCGCGTTTCCACGGCCCTCGCTGCATGAGCTCAGAGCACGCAAAAGCCAGCTGGCATCGTCGAGGACTAATCAAGCCTTCCGCTGTACCTTTTGGCACTTCCCCGGTAGCAGCAAACTTCTTGTAACCCCCCGAAAGCCGAGAGAGACATTGGCTACCTTGGTTCGGGAGGCGTTTGTCTTTCTTGACTGGGGTCTATCTAGATCTGACAACGGGCCGGCCGGTCGTGCATCGCAACCTTTTCCTTGCCATAGAGGCTGCCAGGAGGACATTGCATGAGGCTTCCTAACTCAAAAAAAGACCCTTAGCTTCAAACAAGCGTACGAGCACCTGTCAAGACTTGTTGAGCTTCGAGGCAGGAGCCTCGGCGATTGCTTTTGTCAGGAACACAAGATACGTTCCATGCATAGAAGCCTGCTCCTGAAAGTGTCTCCCCAGATTTTGTCTTGTTCA